TCCAAATAAAACTTCAATAAATTTCGTTGCAAGATGCAGGATAAGCACCACTGTCCACCACATCATTGATGTGCTGTTTTTTCAAACTATTACATGAACAAGCAAGCACAGCAGTTGTATTGCTGCATACAGTAACACTTGCCCAGCAACTTTCCCATTTTTAAACTCTTACTTATTAAGTATACATGTGTACTTTGAAATTGTGTAATTGAATGTATGGGTATTGATAAGAAAATACACAAGCATGCAAATATACATGTAATTCTTATCAAATGTACACATATGCCTTCAACTTAAGTAATTGAAAGAATGGGTATTAATAGTAACAAGAAGGAGGTACATACAAGTAGTTCAGCTGTTTTGTAAAAGTATCCAAGTTGTGGACTTTGAGCACCTTTGTAGATTTTATATATTATTTTATTGAAGATTTAACAGTTTGGTGTACATACAGAGAGTTATTTATCATTACTTCGTTAGAAACTTGTTGTTTTCATCAGTTTTGCTTGTTTTACAATTTGAAAATAAAACAGTGGTGTTAAATCAGACTCCATGAGGGTGTATCATTCTTTTAAAGTATCTCTAAAGCATGTGGAACAGAAATGAAAATGATTACATTGAAAGTATCTGTTAAGAAGAAGAGAAAATAGAGAAAACTAATTTTTTTCATAAAAGTTGATTTAAATCAGTGATTTTTTTGAAAAAAATCAAGTGATTTAAATCGCGATTTAAATCATGATTTAAATCGACATGATTTAAATCAACAGCACAGCCCCGCTTCAATAAAGCAAGACCTGTACCTTATGCCTTGAGAAATAAGGTAGAAGCTGAGCTTGACAAACTTGTTGAACAAGGAGTTCTCATTCCAGTTTCACACAGCAATTGGGCTGCTCCTATTGTTGTAGTACCGAAGTCTGACAAGTCGATTTGAATCTGTGGGGATTATAAGACTATACTATCAATCCTGTTTTGGATGTCGACAAGTACCCCCTACCGAATCCCCAGGATTTGTTCTCAACCCTGGCAGGTGGATGTTGTTTCACCATAAGCTTGACTTATCACAGGCATATCAGCAGATGACTCTTTTCAGCTTAGCAGTGACCTCTCTACAATAATCCTTTTGTTTCAGGGAGGGAAGAGGGGATCTTTGTCCCTCCTTCAAACATAAAGGTTGACACAAAATCCCTGCCACTGCCGGGGATGCATTCGCATTGCGCAGCAATACAGATTGCAATATTTCTAGTTACATTTAGGGTAAATGTATGATTGAAATTTTCTTATGGGAAAGTATTTTTTTTTAAATTAGCTTATTACAAGGTCATACTCTAGGTCAGAAGACCTTGCAAGATACAATATACGTCACATAAATGCCAAATTGGTTTGTATTGAACACATCTTCAAATATCAATAACTTTGTTTTATTAAATCGGTTGTTGCGCGTGCGCATGCTCAAATTTTAACCAACCTGTTTTTTCTTATTTTTCTGCTTCTATCAAACCAACTTAATATTGGGTGGCCTTCCTCCCCTTTCATATGATAGATACATGTATTGTATGTGATTAGAGATATTTCACTCAAGGCAGTTTTGAGGAAAAACAATATAGAATTGATTTTTCTTATGATTATGACTAGAAGTGAAGCTTCATAGCATGTGTTGTATAACATTGGGTAGTTAATGATATAGGTTTTCCCGCCCAATTTCATCAGAGTTGCATTCGTGAATTTCATGCATTTCATGCATAGGCATTCAAGTTCGAACAATTTTCGTCAACTTTCTGCTCTCATGGTTCATTTACCTTCTTTGAGCATTCAATGTTGTTTTATATCATTTTAAATTTTATTTCATTCAATTTAGAGAGAAATCCATTCAATTTAGTGACACAAAGTTGTCATTCAATTTCGCGCCAGCTGGATAGACGTTCAATTTCGTCCTTAATACCAATTTCAATTTCATTTATAGGCACACACCTTTGCACTTTGAACGTTGGAAATAAATTAAAATAAACAATTTTTGTAGTTCTATGTAATTCTTACCGCAATTTGTTCACGTCATATTTACTTTTTTCACTGTTTTAAATCATATAATTTCATTTTCATTTTAAAACTTTCACACTGTTTATTTTAATCATATTTTGTATATTTTTTTAATTTCTTATCTTCTCTTCCAGTTTCACTTTATTCCCTAGCAGTATGGATATAGCACTTACATGATTCTTATAACTCATAATTTTGTTACATGATAAGTAAGTACTTATCATGTACTTATGCTATTATCTTGTAAGATATTTCAATATAAGGCGCAAGGTCCCATTTCAAGGTACATAAAATTTGCATAATTTATTCAATCAGTGCAGATTACAAAGAACCTCAAGAGCTTTTTATTTTAAAGACTGCCCAAATGCTATAAATAATTGCCTATTCATGAATTTGAATACCTTAACGTTCATCAGGGCGGTGCAGGTGTGAATTTGAATGCATTTACGTGCTTTTTTAATTTGAATGCGCTTTTTACACTTGTGAGAAAATCATGAAAATCATGAATGCTGATCTCGGTGATCATTTAAATTCGCTCGAAATTGAATGATCGCATTGTTAATTTGAATGCAATTATGATGAAATTTGACGGGACAACCTATAATAATAATTGTTAGATGAATACAAAATCTCATTTTAGGCTACATTCAATAGGAAGAAATAAGAAGGGAGAGTGATTCTTGCCTTTGTTTTGGACTTTGATGTATTTAGTGTCGGTCACATTCGCATTTGCAAGAAGGAGAATTTGCATAATTCTTATGACTTGGGACCACCTCTGGCCCTTCCCCCTCCATTTTTTCAACCTAAATACGCTACTGGCTGTTATTTGGAAGAGGCATTATAATGCAGGCCTGATAAAAACCCGATTTAAATCGGTTTCCCGATTTTTTTTATTTTTCCCGATTTTTTCTCAATTTTTTTTTCTCTTCCGAATTAAAAAAAAAAATCCAGATTTTTTTTTTTTTTTTTTTTTTTTTTACCAGAGTTTTTTTCCTTCCCTATTTCATTTCCTGATTTTACCGATTTCCCCTTATTTTCTCTTTTCTTCCCTATTTTTTCCCCAATTTTTTTACTCGAAAGGGGGGATGTTGTTAGATGCTATTTTTTTCCCCCGCGAATCCTCTTCTTTTTTTTTACTCAAGGGGGGCGTGGTTGAGGGGAAAACAAAAAACCTATTCTTTTTTTAGTGCTCACTATCACCCCTGATAATGATACGTGTGTGAATGTTGCTTCATTTCAAAGAACGTCAACTACGCGCTGTGGGACGCCATATAACATGTGACACAAAATCACTTCAAATAATTGATTTTGTCACAAAAGCAATCTCACATAGTGAATTTGTCACAAAATCAATCTCACATAGTGAATTTGTCACAAAATCAATCTCACATACGGTAGTGAATTTGTCACAAAATCATGGAATCACACCCATGATAAATTTTGTAGATTGAATCATTTCAAACCGCAGGTGATTTTGTCCACGGAAACAAACCCACGAGTAATTCTGTCCACTAGTATCCGAATTAAAACAAGGCACTTCCAGATTAAAAATGCTTATGATCAAATAGACATAGATATTTGAAATGCTTGAATTAATCTAGAAGATACGTAGAAGATTTCCTGATGCCAAATCGGTTTCATTGATATTAACAAAAACGTTAAACTATAGAATATTAAAAATTATATTCTGCATTACACATTTTTTGGTTTTTGATTGGTTGAGAGCTCTTCACGTGACCAGAAATATTTCAACCATTTTAAGGTTGCTCTGAGTACTATTTGGGAGTTGACAATTCCAAAATCTTTCCTTTTCTGTATTGCTCTCATATGGTTTTGTGTGGCTGTTGGTGTGTGCATTTATATAGTACATGGTCAATAAATTCTGTAGAAAATGTTTGGTCTTTTTTTTCTCCCCCTTCTAGAAATATATATACCTTGTAATATTGTATTTCTTGTGCAATTTATTTTGATATTGTGTTCACTCATTTCCTCATATACCAAACACAACTTTCTTCTTAGAGGATCTGACCTGTAATTTGTAAAAGAAAATTCATGCCAAATTAATATAATTAGATTAAAAGCCATGCATGTGGAGATTCAGTTCAAGTTTGAGTGTTTATAAGATGGACATTATTTTGTATCAATCATCAATTTCTGACCTTTTCCAAGTTTGATTGATTTTTAAAATTTGTCATAGAGTTTTCTGAGAGCCAATTTTACCAAAGGCCTGAATTCACCAAACTGAACCATAGTAAGAAACCTCCTGACTTAGGGTTCTTGTGCACATGAAATCCAGAGTAAAGAATACCTTAAATACATTAATATCAAATATATATTTATGCATATTAACAATTTCAATGTAAGTAGGAGTTACACTATTAAATACAAAAAGGCTGGAAGCCCTATAAAGAATAGATATAGAATTTTGAGGAAAAAAATCACTATTAAAAAATCATCCTCTCCATGGAAACGTTAGTATGTTCTCTTAATTCAAGAGACAAGAATCGAATTTGAAAATAAAATCTATTTCATCATTTTTGTGAGAATAACATGTTATTATAAATACAAGTATGGATTGAATGGAATTTGTATAATATATAAGAATACAGTCAGAAATTAGTAAATAAAATGTATGCATGTACTATATTCATCATGAACGCAGGTCAAGACTCTCACGCTTCATGATGTCGGGTTTCCCACACCAGCATCATCACATCATCTAGTAGGAGCACTGTGTTCTATGCCAAACCTGACTGACACATGTGCTCCACGACTCTGGAATGAGCTTCCACATTTTATTCGATTAGCACCATCGCTGGATGTCTTCCGAAAATGTCTAAAAACTCTCCTCTCTGACCATGATCAACAATAGATTCTTTTATAACTTTTTATGTAAAGCGCTGTGAAACAACAGTTAGTTCGTAAGAGCGCTATATAAATGACTTTATTGTATTGTATTGTACTCTTCATTGAAAGCAAATGCATCATCCATACAGGTATGTGTGTTCTAATGGTAATGTCATGGAGAGGGTCATAGAAATGAAGAAAGAGCAGTAATGATTATATATGAGGCACATGTATATATATGTTTTTTCTCTATAAATATTCTTTTCTAAAGGCCATTATCTTGGTTTATTGATACAGTCATGAAACATGAAATAAAAGCAAACTATACATGTACTGATTAAGCTGAAATCCAAGTGTATATAAGATTGACATTGTTTTGATCAATATTCCATATCCATCCTTTTCCAAGTTTAATTGATATGAAAAATGTGTCATAAAGTTTTGTTAGAGCCCATGTTAATAAAGGCTCCAATTGACCAATTAGTAGGAGTAGGACCTTTCAATGCAAACAGGTTGGAAGTCCTATAAAGAGTACATATAGAGTTTTTTTTTAATCATTCTTACTAAATCATCCTCTCCATGGAGACTTTAGTATGTTCTATTCATCAATAGACAATAATTGAAGATGAAAAGAAAATCCATTCAATAATTTTTGCTGAGAATGTTATTTTGAATATAACTGTTATTAATGGAATTTGTATAAAATGTAAAAATATAGTGAGAAATTTGTAAATAAAATAGATGCATGTATAGATGAGTTACTTAACTATTTTCATCATGAACGCAGGTCAAGACTCTCGAGCTTTCTCGTGTCAAGTGTCCCACACCAGCCTCATCTCATTATCTAGTAGAAGCACTGTGTTCAATGCCAAACCTGACTGACCTGACACTTGGAATGGATCTCAATGATGAGTTCTACTCTTCATTGAAAGCAAATGCATCATCCATACAGGTATGTGTGTTCTAATGTAAATGTCATGGAGAGTGTCATAGAAATGAAGAAAGAGTAGTAATGATTATATGGGTCACATGTATATATATATGCTTTTCTCTACAAATACCCTTTTCTAAAGGCCATTTTCTTGGTTAATTGATACAGTCATGAAACATGGGATAAAAGCAAACTCACATGTACTGATTCAGTTGAAATTCAAGTGTATATAAAATTGACATTGTTTTGATCAATAATCCATATCCATCTTTTTCCGAATATGATTTATAGGAAAATTATGTCATAATGACTTTAAGAGCCAATTTAAAAAAAGGCTTGAATTCACCAAACTGAACCATAGGAAGAAACTTCCAAACTTAGGGGTCTTGTGTACATGAAATCCAGAGTAAAGAATATCTCAACCCTATGTTAACCGGGGGGGGGGGGGGGGGGGGGGGGGGGGTCAATTTGACCCCCCCCCCCCCCGTAGTAATTTACCGACTACTCCCGAACCGCGGCAGATATAAAGTTGTCCTTTCATGACTTTTTTCTTTCGAGTCTTATGCATCTTTTGAAACAACATTTTCGAAAATCGGACCTACGGTTACAAAGTCTCATGACCTTTTGTCTTTGGATGTCAACCCCTAAATCGCTCATTTTTGTAATTTCTGTACAAAACATATGGAAATACCATTTTTCCTAAAAAGAGATAAAACATTGGTTATTTGGTCTTGTTTGAAGTTTAGGTGTTTGTTTTGGGGTCAAAATAGTTAAATTGTAGTTAGAAATTAAAGATAACAACAATAAAATACATAAGTTAAAAAACAATGAAATACATAAGAAATTATCAAAACAAGAGATAACATAAGGAATAACCTGGGTCTTCCAAATTTTTGTTTGTATTATTATTCCAAATGGTCTAACGAATATATGTAATGAAAAAGAATGCTTAAATATGAATAATATATGATTTATGGGTAAAAATGTGAATTTCATGACTTCATTTGCATAAATTACCAGAAATATGCAAATGAGTGAATTTTTCAAAAAATTGAAATTACCATAGTATACTATACACTTCACTTGACATGCATGCAAATTTTCGCGGCGATCGGCCGTTAAACAGCCGAGATCTAAAGGGGGGGTCAAATTGACCCCCCCCCCCCCCCCCAGTAAAAACCTGGTCTGAAATAGCCCAGTTAAAATAGGGTTAAATACATTAATATCAAACATATATTTATGCATATTTACAATTTCAATGTGAGTAGGAGTTACACTATTAAATGCAAACAGACTGGAAGCCCTATAAAGAATAGATATAGAATTCTAAAAAAATCACTATTAAAAAATCATCCTCTCCATGGAAACGTTAGTATGTTCTCTTAATTCAAGAATCGAATTTGAAAATAAAATCTATTTCATCATTTTTTGTGAGAATAAGATGTTATCATAAATACAAGTATGGATTGAATGGAATTTGTATAATATAAGAATACAGTTAGAAATTAGTAAATAAAATGTATGCAGGTATTGATGAGTTACTTAATTATATTCATCATTAACGCAGGTCAAGACGTTCAAGATTCATATTGGCGAGTGTCCCACATCAGCCTCATCGCATCATCTAGTAGAAGCACTTTGTTCTATGCCAAACCTTACTGACCTGACACTTGGAATGTATCTCAATGATGAGTTCTACTCTTTATTGAAAGCAAATGCATCATCCATACAGGTATGTGTGTCCCAATGGTAATGTCATGGAGAGGTTCATTGAAAGAAAGAAAGAGTAGTAATGGTTACATGGTGCACATGTATACACCATTTTTTCCAAACACCCTTTTTTAATGGCCATTCACTTGGTATATTGGTACAGTCATAAAAAATAAAATAAAAGCAAACTATACATGTACTGTTTCAGCTGAAATCCAAATGTGTATAAGATTGACTTTGTCTTGATCAATAATCAATATCCAACCTTTTCCAAGTTTGATTGTTATGAAAAATATGTCATACAGTTTTATTACTGCCAATTTTAATAAAGGCCTCAATTTACCAAACTTAACCATAGCAACAAACCTCCTGACAAGGGTCTTGGCGGCAAATGAAATATAGAGTTATGAATACCTTCAATACATTAATAACAGATGTATATAAATACATATTATTAATTTCAGTATATGTAGGAGTAGGACCTATCAATGCAAACAGGTTGGAAGTCCTATAAAGAGTACATATAGAGTTTTTATTTAAATCACTCTTATTAAATCATCCTCTCCTTGGAAACGTTAGTGTGTTCTTTTTTCAATAGACAATAATTGAATGTGAAAAGAAAATCTAATAATTTTTGCTGAGAATGTTATTATGAATGAAACTATTTAATGAATGGAATTTGTATAAAATGTAAACATATAATGAGAAATTTGTAAATTAAATATATGCATGTATAGATGAGTTACTTAACTATGTTCATCATGAACGCAGGTCAAGACTCTCGAGCTTTCTCGTGTCAAGTGTCCCACACCAGCTTCATCTCATTATCTAAACGTTATTAACTCTTATTAAATCATCCTCTCCATGGAAACTTTATTATGTTCTTTTTATCAATAGACAAGAATTGAATTATGAAAAGAAAAAGCTATTTATAAATGTTTGCTGAGAATTTATTATGAAGACAACTATGTAATTAATTGAATTTGTAGTTAATGTAACAATACAGTGATAAATTTGTAAATAAAATGTATGCATGTACAGATGAGTTATTTAACTATATTCATCATGAATGCAGGTGAAGACTCTCAAGCTTCATGCTGTCACACCAGCATCATCACAGCTCCTAGCAGAAGCACTGTGTTATATGCCAAACCTGTCTGACCTGACACTTGAAACGGATCTCAATGAGGAGCCTGAGGAGTTCTTATCTTCATTGAAAACACATGCATCATCCATACAGGTATGTGTGTCCCAATGGCAATGTCATGGAGAGGTTCATTGCAGACAAAAAAGAGCAGTAATGATTATAGGGGGCACATGTATATAATTATATTTTTCTTCTTCCAAACACCCTTTGTTTAACAGCCATTCACTTGGTATATTGGTAGTCGTGAAACATGGAATAAAAGAAAACTATAATGTACGTAGTGATTCAGTTGAAATCCAAGTGTGTATAAGATTGACATTGTTTTGATCAATAATTAATATCCAACCTTTTCCAAGTTTGATAGATATGAAAACTATGGTATGTCTAAGTATAAGATTTGTTCTAACAGGTAGTTTTTGTATACTTGATTTCAGTATCATAATTAAATTACTACTGCTTTAGTGAATACTACTACCATTACTACTACAGTAAAACTACCACTATGATTAATATAACAGGATTTCATGAAATTGCAGTGTGTATTGGATCCATTTATTTTTGAAATTTTTGTAAATTTCTTGTGCAATATTTGTCTTACCATAGCTCTTTTAAATTATCCATACTTATTTTGTTTATGAGATGTTACTGTAGCTCTTAGGTGTATAGTCCCTAAGAAAATAGATTATATGCCATAATGAAATGGATCCACTTACATGTATTTGTAACTGTTTACAAGTAATGTTGTTTTTTTTTTTTTTTTTTTTTTTTTTTTTTTTTTTTTTTTTTTTTTTTTTTTTTTTTTTTTTGGCTGCGCGCGCTGGTGGCTGCCCGCCCACACTGCACTGCTCTCTGATTTATCACTGATTTTGTTGTTTTCATTTGTCATCTCCATTTCTATTTTTGATATTTCATTGTACTTATATCCTGGATATTACTAGTCAAATTTGGAAGCATTTAGGTCAGTATTTTTGATGTACTTATTCTGTGAAGTTTTCGAGATTGCTTGAGGTTGTACTCACACATACAGTACACAGTAGAAGCCATGTTATACACATGTCATAGTGTAGTTGGTTTGTTCACTCATGCGTAAAGTCTGTGCTGACTTTCTTTCTTTGTTTGCTTTGAATAGACCTGTACTATTACAATGAATCTCACCACTTCAGTAGCTTTTGTGTGCTGTGTGGTCATGTTATACTGTAAGTGTCATGTAATGCAACAATGGTGTCATGCTTCTGATCTGGTTTCTGATCCACATGTACAAAATGTTCCCTACATGTATTTAGAAGCTAGACCTGATGCATATTCGTTGAAGTTGAAACTGAAGGGAAAACATTTTTGTGCTCCAGTACAGTTATACGCTAACAGTGTATCCACTTTTCAGATTTTGATATTGTTATCTGGCGATGTGAATCCGAACCCAGGCCCTGTCACACATAACTCGGCCTCCTCGGATAACGATAACAGTACAAGGTATTCTATATCATACAAGTATGACAGTAAAACACTTCACTCTTTTAATTCGCGTTCATGCTCGCTACTGTGGCGTGAACAGAATGAGGAATTATGTAATATGATTATGTCTTTAGGTATTAACAGACATGACATAGGGCGGAAGACACATCGAGGTATGAAGGGGGGCCGTGATCCTTTTAATAACAACCTCAAACTTGGTATGTTGAATTGCCGTTCTGTTCGTAATAAATCTACCTTATTAGAGGAATTTATTATTGACCATAGTTTAGATTTTACATGTGTTTGCGAAACTTGGCTAACTGCATCAGACGATGCAGTGATTGCTGATCTTTGCCCTCGTGGTTATCTGTTCAAGCACCATCCCAGAGCTGCTAAACGTGGCGGCGGGGTCGGCTTTCTCTACAGGGACAGTCTCCACGTCGATATTAGTCCAACAGGCAAATTCGAAACATTTGAATCAATGTCTGGAACTGTATCTGGCGGCTCTACACAGGTTGACATTATAGTCATATACAGACCACCAGGATACCAGTCTTTCACTCAGTTTCTTATCGACTTCTCTGCGCTTCTTGATGAGAGGTTGTGCAAACCATACCCACTTTTGATCACCGGAGATTTAAACATCCATCTAGATAACACTTCATCCCAGCATACACTCAGGTTTGTGGACCTTATTAACAGTCATGGCCTATCCCAATTGGTTACATCTCCGACTCACGACAAAGGTCACATTCTGGACGTCGTTCTGGTGCGCAATTCAGACAATTTGTCAATTTCGAAGCCAAGTATCGTTCCAGGTATATCAGATCATGCTGCTATCACTTGTGTACTTCGCTTCACTAAGCCTGCACGCAGCGACAGAACATTTGCTTCCCGTAATATTAAAGACATAAACAGGATAGCCTTCGCGAAGGATGTTGCTGAGAGCGACATTATGCCCTTAACGTCAGAGAGTGTCAACACAGCTACTAGTCGCTACAACACCATTCTTTCTTCGCTCCTCGATATTCACGCTCCTGCCAAGATCCGCAAGGTTCGAGACCGTCAGGACAATCCCTGGTACAACGGCGAGATTACTGCTGAGAAACGTAAACGTAGGCAGCTTGAGCGGAGATGGCGATCTAACGGCAAGCTTCACATTGACAAAGAGATGTTCCGTGCGCAACGAGATTTCACGAACTCTCTCGTCGAACGAGCCAAACGTTCGTACTTTGTCGGGCTAATCGATAAATGTGGACATGACTCTAAGAAACTCTTCTCTACGGCCAATCGTCTCTTGAATCGGAAACAGAACTCTCCACTTCCAAGACATTCTGATAGTAAAGAACTGGCTCAAAGATTTATTCAGTTCTTCCGCTCCAAGGTTCAGAAGATCCAGGACAGTCTCACTCCTGACTTAACTCCACCTGATCCTGTCACGTCAGCATCCCTCGAGACGATTCAACCTACCACCTCCGATGAGATACAATTACTGCTTCATAGATTGCCAGCTAAGTCGTGTAAACTAGACCCTGTCTATACTGTTCTCGTTAAGGATTGCTCCTCTTCATTTGCATCTGTTATCTCACAGATTGTCAACTTAAGTATTGTTCAGGCATGCGTACCTTCTGTTCTTAAAACGGCACACATTCTTCCTTTACTGAAGAAACCCAATCTTGATTCTGAATTACTAAGTAATTACCGTCCAGTTTCTAATCTCCCGTTTTTATTTAAAATACTTGAGAGGGTGGTGTTCTCTAGATTAAATGATTACTGTCTCGATAATGACCTCCTTGACCCATTTCAATCTGCATACCGTCCCCACCACAGTGTAGAAACCCTCCTTGTTAATGTATCCAACTTTATACTCCAGGAGATGGATGGCGGAAAAGTAACTGCTATGGTACTCCTTGATTTGTCTTCCGCCTTTGACACTGTTAACCACACTGTTCTGGTGAATACCCTCATGTCACTTGGTATTAAAGGTCAAGCCCTGGAATGGTTTAAATCATACCTGTCATGCCATTCTCAAGCTGTCTTGATAAACGGCTACCTTTCAGATTTTGTACCACTTACATGCGGAGTTCCACAAGGCTCTGTGGGCGGGCCCACGCTTTTTTCGTTATATTTAACGGGTTTGAAGAGTATTTTTCATCGCCATTCTCTCTCTTATCATGTTTATGCTGATGATATTCAAATATATACTTCTTTCAAACCCAATCAGAGCAATGCAGCCAGCGCTATCCATAACATTGAGACTTGTGTACAAGATGTTCATAATTGGTTAAACTCACATTCACTGAAATTAAATCTCGCCAAATGCGAATTTATAATGTATGGTTCTGAGACTCAGTTAGAGAAGATTTCTTCCATCACTTCAATTACTCTTGCTGGACATGAAATTACCCTATCTAATGTATGTCGCAACCTTGGTGTGTTTCTCGACTCAAACATGAAAATGTCTACTCAAATTCAATATGTCTCAAAGTCAGTACGTTATCAGTTACGCAATTTGGGTTTTATTCGTAAATATCTTAACCGTGGTGCCACCGAGAAAATTACTCATGCTTTGATTTCTTCTCGCTTGGATTTTGGTAATGGCCTTTTGTTTAGTTCGCCTCACAACCTACTCGCAAAATTACAAAGATTACAGAATGCTGCTGCTCGTGTCGTGACCCTGTCCAACAAGTACAGTCACATCACACCAGTCCTCAAATCACTCCATTGGTTGCCCGTAGAAAAACGTGTTGTTTTCAAGATTATTTTGCTATTATTTCACTGTATACATGGCTCTGCTCCGCAGTATAACATCGGCTTGATTAAGCATTACTTTCCTTCTAGACAGCTACGTTCTCAAAACTCTGGCTTACTTGTTACTCCTAGGGTTAAAACAAAGTGGGGGGAACGAACCTTCGCTCATGCTGGGCCTTCGTTATGGAATACTCTCCCTCAATGGGTTAAGAATAGCAGTTCTGCTGAGGTGTTAAAAAATAATCTTAAGAAATATCTGTTTAATTTAGCTTATAATTGATTACCATTACCTTTCATGTCTGTACCTTTCCTATCGCACTTTGTATAAATGTAAAATGTATGTATTTCATCTTTTGCACAAGCTGCGCCTTGAGCATTTGACTGTCAAGTGGATTTGGCGCCTTATAAATCATATGTATTATTATTATTATTATTATATGTTACAGGGTTGTTTTCCTCAGATAAGAAAGGGAAACTTCAGATTCAATGGAATTGCTCAAGATGGCTTGAACTCATTTCTTCACACCCTCTCAAGGTTAGTACAGTAAGCCTATATGTGATTTAAAAATAAATTCAGATATTAGCATGTAGAAATTTCATGAGTAGTGCGATACAGAAACAATATAAAGGGCCTCTAATGGAATACTAAGAAAAGATACAATTCTGATATATACCACATCAGGTAGCACGCAATGAAGTGATACTGTGATCCTGTCTGACAGCACAAAATATTCAGTAACAGCTTATTGAACAAATTCCCTACTGTAAAGATCTTCAACCTTAAATGTGTAGTTCTTTGTGTGTTCTTAATATTTTTGTTAGACTGCAATCTCTTTTTTTCTTCTTCATTAACTGATCAAAATGTTTCTTCAGACTGGTACTTTCACTAATACCAATAGTAGGTGATTTGTTATACATTATCTTTCAAACAGATAAATAAGAAAACTCTGTTTCCTTCACAGCTTACATTACTCGGATTGGTCAGCTGACTTAGCCAACATCAGTGTTACCACTCTCATGGGCTATTGGTATCTTATATTATTATGTTAATGTTCTTTGGAAAATGTTATTTGAATTCATGTTCAATTCAGTTTTTACTGCCAGACACGAAGATTCTAATAAAACCCATTTATCTATTTATTTATCTGTTGTACACTCATGGGTGATGTGCACTCTTCAAGAAGGAGAATACGTTCATCAGACTACCCTCAACACCAACACATGGGTGGTGTACCCTCACCAAGAAGGACAATACGTTCATCAGACCACCCTCAACACCAACATATGGGTGGTGTACACTCATCAAGAAGGACAATACGTTCATCAGACCACCCTCAACACCAACATATGGGTGGTGTACACTCATCAAGAAGGACAATACGTTCATCATACCACCCTCAACACCAACATATGGGTGGTGTACACTCATCAAGAAGGACAATACATTCATCAGACCACCCTCAACACCAACATATGGGTGGTGTACACTCATCAAGAAGGACAATACGTTCATCATACCACCCTCAACACCAACATATGGGTGGTGCACACTCTCCAAGAAGGACATTACCATCATCAGACCACCCTCAACACCAACATATGGGTGATGTACACTCTCCAAGAAGGACAATTCCACCATCAGACCACCCTCAACAGCAACCGATGGGTGATGTACACTCTTCAAGAAGGACATTACCACCATCAGACCACCCTCAACAGCATGATGGCTTTACATCAGATGCTGTATGTCAATTCTCTCAGACACACAGAGAAGGTAGCAGTAGTCAGAGCAAGCCTTACAAGAGGCAAGCTCCTTCTACTCAGTCAAGAGTTCCACAGGATGATCCTGAAATTCCAGAGAAGCAATCAAAGTATGACATCTAGTTGCTATGGTATCGGTAGATTAAGACAGTGTCCCAGTGGTAACACTTCATCTTGTTTTTGTGTTTGTATGATACAGGGCTCCACACTAACTTTAATTTTTGGAAAAAAGGTTCAGATTGAACTTTAAAAGTGTGTATGCATGAGTCCTAAGAAAAAACTTTGAAATTCGGGGGTCCGGAACTAGAGTTTTGGCAATCCATGTGTCCCGGCTAGCCTGTCGGTTTTGAGTCCTGGGCCTGTATTCAATTCAATACTGAAGTACAAAATTTAAGCTTTTTACTTAGTATTTGGCTTAGAAAATTACTTAGCCAATTATGGTATTCAATTGACACTTTTGGCTAAGTATTTTACTCTAAATCTAAGCCGACTCCATACCAGACTTAAGCAATTGTTTGTAGGCCTTGATTGGCAGGCATACGGTTTTCTTACGCAGTATTATATCCTGCGCACAATTATATCAGCGCGCAGTTATTGCAATGCGTCAATTGCGCATTAGTTTTGATTGACCGTGTGACGTCACAATGCTTATCAGTAAGTATTTTACTTAGATTTTGTCTTACGCAAGTATAAGTCTAAAATGCAATTTGAATACGAGATTAGTCAATTACGGTACTTAACTTAGCCATTTCCTTAGTAAGTTTCTAACTTATGCTAAGTACTGAATTGAATACCGGCCCTGGTCTAATAGCAAGAAATTTGGGGTAAATAGGGGTAATTTGGGGCAATATTTGCAAACATTTGAATATTATTTAAAAGGCTGTGTTCTTGTTTTTCACCTCAATGAGTACAGTCTCTTATCTGGTGTTAGTGTATGAATTTTAAAAGAAAGAGAACATAATATTGTCACAATGTTTGAATACATGTGAAAGGCCTATGTAAAAAGTGATGCAAACATTGGATACGTTTTGTGAATGTGTACTCAATAAGCCCAAAACAGAGTTGCATCAAGGGCCCATTGTGTACCTGTTTTATGCAGAAAGGGGTCATGTTGTGTGGTAAATGTTTTTTAAAATACTCTAAATAGGGGGTCATTTTTTTACTCGGCTATGATTATGTATTATGCATGTGTATAGAAGGTGGCTATTGATATAGTGCACACGCCCATTGCAGCATGACCCTCCTGGTGCTTAAACATTATTACCCTGGTCCTAGGCGCCGGCCAAATATGTAGCGCTTTGGCATGTCGGGTGCCCATTACTACCAGGGTGGAGAGTGGCAAATGTGGATTAATGCCTTGCCCAGGATGTTAGAGCTGGGCTAGCTGGGATTTGAACCCTCAACCCTTGGATTGAGTCTAGTGAGTGAACCACTATACCAGCTCTTAATGCTATCATGTCAACCATCATTGGGGATGTAGTTACTTTAATGCACAGTATTTGTTTGATAATAAATTATGATTAAGTAAAGTGTGAAAGGATTTGTTTGATTTATCACCAGAAATGTCCCCAGCTAAAGAACTATTGCTTTATCTATATTGTCAATTATATCCCTTCTATGAATATTCATGAGTTTTCTAAATACATGATTGGTCAATTAGTGGTCATGTGATAAAATATAATTTCACTGTTAGAAACCTCTGCCAGAGCTCTGAATATTTTCCACTATTTTTTCATGGGCAGAACTGTGCATGCTCTTTGAGATTGTCATGTAGATAAGCATTGTGACATCACATCATGTTCAGTCAAAAGTAATGCGCAATTAGCGCATTAATATAATTGTGCGCAGGTTAAATTGACAAATTCTAATTGATTGTAAACTTCTCCAATACCCGGCCCAATGTGGGTGACATGAGAATAAAGTTAAAAACCATATGCCAGCCAATCGTTAAGTCAAACGTTTGGATTGTAACTAAGTGATATAAAACAAATATACCAAGCATTTAGTTCGTAAGAATAGTGGAAATTATATATCTTCAGAGGGACTGCAATAGTTACTATTTTTTCCTTGGGGCTTTGCCCCTCGGAAATATAGTACTTTGCCAGTCCCTCCTCAGATAAATATTCTTTCTCACAGCTTTGAGTTTTAAGTAGAAGAATGTAATATTTCAAATTATCTTATCAAAATGTCATTGCACATGTTCAATGAAAATATAGTTAAGTAGAAATTGTTACCAGAAATGACCCAGATGTTAAGAGCCACATTGCTCTAGTTATCTTGTATATGAACTTGGTAGAACTCAATATGATAGTTGAGAACTAGCTTTGTCTAATAAGGGTGTATGAATATAGGCCTGAGTTACCGGCGTAACAGTTTGTTGGAGATGTATTAATGTTTGTAAATTTAGAACTACATCCAGTTCTAGATTTTAAAATCCATCTGAGGATATATTTTCCTGTGTTTTCTTTACAACACTATAGTGTATATGTAAATATGCTGCTATAATTTAAGATACATGTCTCTGTTGTCAATGTAACATGCCTGAGTTATAATATAATATTTAATTTGAAATTGATTATTGTTTGTACATGTTTAACTACAATCACCAATGACCAGTACTACATAATAAATCCATCCATTCATTACATCACTCCAGTGTACATATAAATATGCTGCTATAATTGTACGATACATGTTTGTTCTAATTTGTATTCAGTACTGGATTTCAATAATTTGTATGATACACATTCCAGGCTTTTCTTCGCATCATTATGAATATGATAATGCATTGATATCATACATGTATATTTTGAACCTGTTTCTTTGCCATACATACTTGCCTTGTAAATAAGAGTAATATTTTAATAAGTTTGCATTCCTGATTGGCTTATAAGATATAAACGTAGATACTTCTCTTATGAGCATTCCGTTACCTTGACTTTTGATCACCATCCTCTTCTGATTAAGAGATGTCATATTTATAATCCACTCTGATATGATTTTTATAATAGACAATTCAAATCGCTCAGATCTGTAAGTAACAGTGAGTTTATGCTGAATTATGTTATGCAAAAGAATGCACTGTACATGTCTTTCTATATATATATTTGATGATCATAAATTACTGAAATAAAGATTGAAGTGCCTTATATATTTCAACATTTCGATGTACAAAGGAGTTGTAATTTGATGATAGTGTATTTGTATTCTATAGCTAAAATGGTGTCACGTGACACTCAACATTGTTCATCAATAAATATTTTATTGAAATACTGAATACACTGAAAGTGGATCAGCTTTTTACACTCCAATAATGCACATACACGTTTAAACTTAGTAAAATTCTTTTTAAAAATAAAGCTTTGTGTCCATTACTAATTTAAGTATGTGTAAATTAAATGTTACGAGTTCAATATTATCTTCATGTTTCTCTGTTTTCTCTTATATCAAATTATGAAGTATATTTTCAGTAATTCATTAATTCAAATAACAATTTACTGCTGCTCGTAACTTTTTTTAATTGCTTCCATTAATGTTGTCATTAATTATTACGATTATTATTATAAGTATTTTTCTTTATTATTGTTATCATTTTTATTGTTATCACTATCGTCGTTAGTGATATTTTCATTGATAACAAGTTAATTTGATTTGAATTGTATACTGTCACAGTGTTAATTGGCGAACTCAAACTACTCCAATACCCCAATGTGGATAACATGAGAATAAAAAGTCATTGTCATTAATATTGTCATTTATAGTTCTCTAGGCGTACCCATTGTTTGCATTGTCTCAACTGCTCGCATCTGACACTAAGGCAACCTGCAACTAATCAAGAGGGCATGACTCCAAAGGTTCGCAAATACCAACAATATTATATAATATTTCATACATTTCATTATTTAGTGTAACATGTATTCACCTCCAAATTCAGAATCCCCCTAGTGCCGTTATATTTCAACCTCAGCCTATGGCTTCGTTGAATTATAACAACACTCTTGAAACTCTGATTTATTTTTTTATTTTTTGTATGGTTCATGTACATACATGTTTACAAAGATGTATTGGTAATCTATGCAAATATGATTACTTACCGTAATGCAGATGTAATGATATTATAATTTCCTCTGTCACTTTTGTGGGATGTGCGCATCTTCGTGTATACTTCTTGTGGTCATGCATGGACCTACTACTCCGTAGGGCCATGCTGTGGTCGATGCATCGTTGGGTATATGTTTTCTTAGTGTATTTTGTAAATAGCTTTATATATTCCATATATTATTTGTTTTTGTATTCATGAATCAATTATCTTTGTCACATCATCTAAGGGGCCTTAACTAATTAACAAGCTATGTTTCAACCAGGCAAGATCTCCTCGTCGTTCTGTATTGTACATTGTACTGTTATGATTATATACTCTATTATATTTTGTTAAATGTTATTTCTGGAAGACAAAAATAAACTTTATACTTGACACTTGATACTTGATATTGTTTTTTTTTTGTCTTATAATTTCTAGCACGTTTTCCTACATCCTCAGAAAAAAAATAGTTTCATGAAAATGTCAACATTTTTTAGAATAGCTCAACTAATGTAACTATCTTTGATAGATGGAGGTTAGCAACACTGGCGTAGGAACCGGGAGGGGAAATATCCGTCCCCCCCCCCCCCCCCCCCCGCTTTAATGGCTGAAAACCCCTTTTTTTTGTGCAATTTTGATATTCTAGATATAAGATCAATTTTTTACCATTATGCCTGATATAATTCGACAATGGCATAATTTTAGCATAATTCTAGATATTTTTGTTCTCTCTCTCTCTCTTTCTTCTTTTCCCTTCTTTTTGTATGTACTGTGACTTCCATCCAATCAGCGTAAGCCTGCATGACCAGAGCAGACAAGGCTTAATATTTGCCTGCAACATAGGCAAAGACCAGATGCAAAACAGAGGATACATGATGGGAGTTATTACATTTAGTCACACTCTGTCTGTCCCATGCGCAAGAGGATTCTATAATTGAAAAGGAATTACAGTTAAAGGGGAAGTCCACCCTACAAAGTTGTGATCAATCAAATACAAATTGGCAACTCTAGTAGTATATACGAGCGCTCCTAGCTTCCGTGTGCTTTGTGCATAGTATTCCATAAAATCACGTTTTCGTGTTATTGATGAGGGAATATATTTGGTCCTTGCAGGGGTAGTTAAGAAACATATTTGCAATTATTATACTTAGGGTGCATGTATGTTGATAATTTTCTTGAGGGGAAATGAAAACAAAAATCTTATTTTGTTAGTACTTACCACAAGCTCGCATGGTATGGTACCGAGTTACCAATTTGTGTTTCATTTTTAGTTGATCACAAATTCAAAAAATAATAACTTCCTTATTTTTAATTGGAATTTGCTCTAACTTGACTGATCTGTTTTTCTCATTTTCTGCTTCTATTAAACCAACTTAATCTCAAGGTGGACTACATATACGTGTAATATAATCACTATGAACTGGCCGGCCAAAATGACTTAAAATGATCTTGCCAAGGTCTTCAATTCCAGCGAAATTTTCTTGAAACAGTCTACATTTTGTCGCGGACAAACTGACTTATTCTTATCTTATGGCATTTTTTACAGAAGATAATTTTAAGAGTAATGTTCGACTGTTCGTACACTACATGGGCCTATGACGAAGGTCGTGTGTCTTATTTTAGTCTGACAGTTTTATTACGGTCATAATTCGAGGCAACACGACGAGAAACTATCTTAATTTTGACTCTCGGTGGAATGCAGTGGTTTAGAAGACCCGACCACTGACTAGATTATGTTTTCATACCCGTTGCACTATATATTGATTTTCCTTTCTCTCTTTCTAACGAATAGTTATACCAAAAACTCGAAATCATCAATATCAAATGTACTAAGTACTAATAAAAGATATTAATTAAGCTTGCTTCCATATTAAGGTTGTTTATAAATATTGTAGTGCATGCATCTATGTGATGTTTCTATTAAGGGTCTGGGCAAACAACTATGCCTCGAAACCACGAATTCCTTCTAATGGACAGACAAGGTCACGCGCTGGCTGAGAGGTGAATATTACCAAATTATGATTGTTTGTATGACTTTTGTAAAAGAAATTGCTAATCTTGCTTGAAATATGATTAAAATGGAAAATTTAAGGTGAAAACAAACTTCGAACGAAAGGAATCGACCAACGTCAAGTCAGTTTTCTGCATGGGGAAGATAGTCTCATGTCAAGACGTCGATTACTATGACCTAAGGAAAATGAGTACAACCTTACCAAACATTGTCATTTACTTGCGTTGTACAGAATAAAACAAGCCAACCACCTTACAGTAATTATACGAATGCATTCATTTCAAATGTTATAAAGTATTTTCAGTCATACACTAATACCATAACGTTGGAATAATTTCGTTACACTGACCAAGCTTGAAGAAATTGAAGAAGAAAAACAAGTTTGTAAAGATTATTGTGGTTTGATTGTCATTATGAGGAAATTGATCATCAAAGTGTTGAGAAAATAATAAGTGTTATCAAAGACTTTATGAACAACAGCGTATATCGCATGCTCATTATTTACAAACCGAAAATAATAAACGAGAAGCTCAAAAGAAAAGAAAATGTAATAAATGCATAAGGAAATATAGAAAAAGAAGATGAATCAAATGACAAGGCAATACAACAGAAAGAATAGAAAGAGAAAGAAAGAAATATATTAGGAAAGAGAGTAGATGAAAGAAGAGAAAACTCAGAAATACATCAGAAAAGACATATAGAGAAAGAACGGACGAAAC